CAATCGATCTTTATTTTTATCAATAACTGCATCCATGGAATTATATTTTTGATACAATTCTTCACTGAATACTGAAAGTAATTTTCAAGATTGTTCTCATTTTTTATATAATTCGCACATTACACAAGAATTAAATATTTTAAATTTCAAAAATATCACGTTTGATTTATCAGCACAGTACGAAATAGTATTCCATAAAAAGTCACACTCGTTTCAATTCTCAAGAAAAAAAGAACAGTCATATTATCTACGTAATTATTCATAAAATCCCTTAAACAATAACTGAGGTAAATGAACAAAAGTTCTAATCATTCTTTTTCCCAACATTTAAAATTCATAATAACGTTGAACAGAGGGGTATATAATGTGCAGTCTTCGACACTCAAAACAATATCGAAAGTAGAACGAAAGTTGTTTTTTTTCTGCATATAATAGTATTTGCTGTGTAAAATGGAGATATTTTATGACGAGACAATCTTCACTGACGGTAGTAGTTTTAAAAATTACGATGCCATTTGTATGACAAATGAGGCTGATCGATATTTAGTGAATCGTCTACAGTTGCATTCAAAAATTGTGAGTTTCATGTGCAATGACGACATGAAAGGTGCAACTAGCCCGGTTTTCCTTAATCCCCGTGTCCCAGGTCGAGGTATCAACATCTTCACACTAGATGCTACAAATAAACAAGTATTACGTTCAGCTCCATTCAATCAAATTCTTATTACCAATGCCCTGCGAAATTCTGTGCCAATTACAATCAAGGATCATGATCCCCAGAAGTCAGCAGTTTATACCGTTGGATATTTGAATCCTCTTGAGTCAGCAATCATGATAAAATACTACGCCATGCATCATCAAATTAGAATTACTCCAGATCTTCAGGCGTATATTGAATCATTCTTCAATGATACACGCAGTTGGTTTCGTCGAGACTATGCACAGCCAGGACCAATTCAAAAGCCCAACGGCGAAGTTGTTGATGCTAGTGGAAACCTTCTACAGCTACCGGACCTCTCATTTAGTAGTCCAGAAGTTGATATTCAGTGAAATAGTATTTATTTCAGTGTTTTAACTAAAAAAATACATTGTTTTTAATTATTTATTGACAAATCAATAAATTCCTTCAGTAAATAAGTAATTCTCCTGAGAATCTCTGAACATATTGTGAATTCATGCAATAATTACGATAAAAATCCACGTGTGGCATGATAACGTATAAATTTACAGATTGCATAAAAAAATTCACTAGTTGAGGGGAATGAAAAATGAGAGAATTTTCAAGTGTTCGTTGCCCCGATCACAAATTAACATGTCCGATTAGATATTCCGTTGTTTTCAATGGGTATCATCAAGAGATATTTTTATAATTCATTGATTTAATGGAGATCATCGGTTTTCAGCTCAACTTGCGATAAGAAGCGATTATTCAACAGGAAATGGTGCGTCCAGGAAATGTTATATCCAAAAAGTACTTCTGGACATCTTGGCACAAGTTTCAAGCAATCGGTATTCCCGTGGGTGTAGGCACAGGTTCCACCACAGTTTGTAAATTTTAACCGAGAATTCTGAATATCCATTCACGTAATATTTCCGCAATCTCCCGTGGTATATTTTATATGGAGTTTCCGGTCTATTTTCGGATTTCAGGGGATTTAATTCATCTGTATCAGAGAAAGTTAAGAGACACGGAGGATGTATTAATAGAAAGTAAATTTGCAATGTGCGTTTTGGTTCCTGATGAAAATCCGTCACCATCGTAGCGTGCAGAACGTCCGTCACGGTTTATCGAATCACACGTGACCATTGCTCCACCCATTACTTCTAAAAATTAACAGTCAACTTATTAAACTTATTAAAATAAAACATCTGATTGGTAGTAGTAAAGATTTTTTGGAGCTGTCAGAAAATAACAGGGGATTTATTTTCCATCGCGATTGCTCGTTGAACTGAATATCCTCGTGAAAAAAATATCATACGTATTGAAATGAATGAATCATAAAGAACTCCAGTTGAGGACAGGTGCCAAGTTTCTCTCATTTATTTTTCCCTCGGAATTTACACATCTCTCCCTTCTCCACGTGCTCTTCAGTTGCGCTATTTCTGCCAGGTGGCTCGCTAAACCTCGCCATTTTCTCAAACTCGACGTTTTTGGTTCAAGATTAATTAAACCCGCCTGGAAATAGTTGCTAACGTTTCACCGTTACACCAACACCAGCAGTCTCCCTCTTGGTTTACTTCTTGGTAACACTAATTTGCCGTGAATGTGTTAGCGTTTGGTCTCTGTACCTTGCACACGTGATGTCGATCTTCTCTGATGGAGCCTCTAAGAGAGAAAATCAAATCGTATTTTGGTGGTGAAAATGGGAAATGGACGTTGACCGACCAACCAACGGTGAGGAAATAAAATTAAAGTGATGGTCGTTGAATTACCTAGATTCTAGAATGAGTTGTGAGATGGTCCCAACCACAGGGGGGCAGCTTCATGCTGAATGGACACCGGGGTTCATTCATTCAGAAAAATTATTACTCTACTAATAATTTTCCGTTGAAATTTTCACACGAAATTCTTTAGATCGTGAAATATTTTATCCTGAACGTCTCTCCATTGGAAATCCATCAATTTTGATGTACAACGTATCTTGCTGGTGTACTAACAGTCGATGCCTACATAAATAATCATTGATAGACCCTTCGCGTCATGCATCGGTTTAAAATGGATATTAAACCGGAAATCAATGTCTTACAATGAATGCCTAAGTAACACGAGAGAGAAAAAATCAAACATTATTCTTCCAGTGCGTATACAACACGTGATTATCACAATTGAGTTAATGCTAATTCCCAGGGGATTTCTTAGCTGGGGCTGAAATTTTATTGATTCATTCTTCAATTTCATCATTAGAGTCAACTCCATCAAGAGTCTTGCGTTGGAGATGCAATTTGAGGACATGGTGACTATTTTTGCTGCGATGGTAGACTGTTGGACGTCTTTGGGGTGACGAGCTGGTGGAGTATATTTGCGTCGCGATGGGTTCACAAATCCGTGGCGAGACCAGCATTTTTAGCGAACATCTGTTGTCTACTACGAGGGTCATACCATGAAGTTGAAGTTATTTGTTAGAATCAGAATAAACATGAGTTCAAATACCTTTACCTGACGTAAATCCCCCAATAAAATTCGCGTTTATATTGCCACATTATTTTTATTTCAAGATATTTATCTCGGAAACGAATGGGTTAATGGAGAATTTGGAATTTGGAATATCATTTTTCCAAATTTTCAGCGCAAAATTGTTTTTCTTTTTTTTTTTTTTTTTTGGAAAACCCGTAATTATTCTCTCTCTTTCTCTGCTGTTTTCGTTCTCATTCTTGCATACAAAAATGTACGGAGTAATGCGAATTTGAGGGAGAGGACAAGTGATGTCCTATGGACATGTGTGTCTCCCCAAACACTCGGGATTTGTTGCGGAACGCGCGCGTCCAGACGATGACACAGCATCCACCGTATTTAGACGATATAATGGATATACAACGAGTTTTGTATGTGAAATTGAGGAGCCCTTCACCCCTCATTATCAGAGATATCTTCAAATTTCGATCATCAATTGGCATCCATTTCCAACTGACAATCTATCATTCATCTTAAAAATCCCGGAAATATTGGAAGAGAAATGTAAAAATATGATCGTCTTATTAATACGCATCGCAGAGAATTAATGATAATATAATTGAATTGAAGAGGTACCCGATGTTCTCCATTTAAATTCTTAGAAAGGCGGCCGACAAAATGGCGAATAGACAGGGTGACTCCTCAATTCCTCTGCGATTGTAAACAACTACAATTTCTCTCCTCGGGCAGCCAATGAAATACCAAAACAAACCCGGATTATCTCACTCTTCTGTTATCCTTCATCACAAAAGGGATTGGCAATGAATGATTGTTTTCTTTTATTCGTCTTCCTATTGGACGATGGATCCATTGGCCATTTCCATGACTACGAGGCTGTTATTGTGCGCTACAGCGCGCATGATTGCCTATTCCTGTTATAAAATTCTAATTATTCTAATATATTATAATAAATTATTCTAATTTCGATGAAATGCTCTCGTAATTTTACTCCAGCTTTTAAAGGGGCCACAGGCGAATCGAAAAGCTAGAGGTGCCCGATTTTTTCCGTCATTTTTAAGTGACCGGTTCTTTTAAGACGAACCGATCATTCAGGAAGAATCGAACATTGAAAGAAAATCAATCCATCAAAATTGAAATAAATGAAATAATATTTTTTATAAAGGAAGACATTAATGGATCACATTGCGCACGATTCACATATCCGGTTATAGACATCTCCAAATCACAACGTGATTTTTATCCGCAATTATTTTCACCTCCACCTCTTCCGCTCTCCTTTTGATTATTTTATTCTCTGCTCCATTTTCAATTGGTATTTTTATTTTTATTAGGTTTTGGAGGAGAACGAAGTTTCTGGGAGTATTTGTGTTTAATCGGTAGCAGGATGTCTACTAGTTGGTCTGGTGAATGTCTGTCCGAGATGTAACGAGTAAACTGCAGCCGAGGTGAATTGATTTTTATGGACGAGTTTTCGGTATTGAAGAAATAAGTAGCGGAAGCTGTTGAGCGGATGTACCGATGGATGAGAAATAATTTCAAGTATCTCTTTGGATGGCGTCAATGGATTCAAGAGGATTTTCCGGAGGATTTGGAGAGGCTCATCCGACTTTTCTTGAATTTCATTGGAAAGTAGGAAGTGAGAGCTCTTGAAAAGCGCTGGATTTTCGTGAGGAAGATGGTGCTGCAACCGATTTAAAGAGTCTCTTGCGGTGAAATATTAAAATAAAATGATAAATGGACTTGTTAGTGGTGATGGGTCGCGGAAGACGGCGAAACGATTAAAGATAAACCTGACGATTGCGTTTAATTTCTCTCCGAGGGCGTCAAAGACACCATAAACTGACATGCCTCGAATAATTCATAAGACTGATTGGGTTTGTTTGCCGCAAGCGTCAAAGTGCGTGCACGGAGATGCAACGGACTGAATAGAAAAATATTCAATGCCGACAATCTGGCGCCAATTTACAGTTTTTCATCGTACAAGTACACACCAACCGTAGAGATGTCAGATGTTGACGGTGAGCATTCGCCGATGAATATCAATGTCTCACTCATTTCTTTTATCCCGATCACCATTACACGCTTGGAAAATCTCTTTAATCAGAGGCACGAAGATTTCAGAGTTATAAACCATCAGCCATTGTCTCATGGTTCATTCAACTTGCCACTAATCTCAAATCAAATAATCCATTCCACAATTTCACATTATTTCATCTTCTTTTATTTTCTCGAAACAAATTCACCAGCAATGAAGTCAGCCCCTTACAGCCCCTGACTTTCAATGGATATATCAAAATCATCGAGTTTAAGGTTCTGAAAAAAAAAAAATTCTATTTGAAGAATGACTAGGAGAATTGAGTAATGGGAGAAAGCAGGACTCTTTGATGTCAAACGAGCTGGAGATCGATGGAACTGCATGCGATCCCATTGAAGCTGGTTAGTTACCGATACACATTGACTTATCATCGTATCAGGTATTAATATTCCCGATATTTATTAGCAGATATAAATGAAAACTGGAAGGATGGGGAGGAGAAGAGCTCGATAATCTCTTTAAAATTCGATGATGGTGATGTTCTCTCTTACTTCCTAAAAACTTCATGAGAAAATTATATCCCACGCTCACGAAGCGTTGCATTGAACCAGTGAAATCGGTATATATATATTCCAGATGAGTCCCAATTATCAACAGGAGACATCTGCAGGATTTGTCACATGGGTGGTTTCCCAGCGGTGGCAGCTTCAGGTCCGTTGTGGGAGTGGCCGAAACAGCAGCCCCAGAGAAATTACAGCCAGACATCAACTATTTCCTCATACGCTTATCTCGGACCCTTGATATCAGCCTGCAAGTCAGTTATTCAGCCCTAAGGAACATCTCTAGCCTTTACTATCCTTGAATCCTCGTAACTGGTATTTTATTATCAATTATCAAGGTGTCGTGGTACAGTTGCACTTGTTCATGTGGAGTGCCTTGAGAGATGGCTCACTGAGTCTGGTCACACCAGATGCGAGCTCTGCGGCTACAAGTATCTCACCAAGAAGGTACCAAGATACGGCATGTGCAAGAGCGCTTGGATCTGGTTCAATACAGTCATCGCAACACGACAGGTTCAATCTTTCAAATGAATTCTTGTTGTCATCTTGTTGATAAAAAATACATATAAAGTACCATCCTTTCTCACCTGTTGTGTCCCAGGTTCTTCTTGATTTTCTCTATCTTCTGGTGACAACTCCCCTCGCTCTATTCTCAATTTACATCTGTGCCCTTGCACTTCGTCTGATCATCGACAGCGGTTTCAACGAAATACCTTGGATGATCGTGGCAATGCTCCCCACCTGCTCCTTAACTCTCATCGCCTACTGGAGTTGGTTGGTAACATTAGGCAGGTACATCAACAGGTACAAGTACTCTATAAAAATCCACAATTATTTTCCAATCGCATTATCCCTCTCGATAATTAATTAAAGGCTTCATGGGAGACGTTGGCACAGATTCTGGAGGGATAATTTCGTGGTGCGACTTCTCCCGGACAATTCAACACACAGAAATGACTCCGATATTTTTCTTCAGGATAATCACCTTGATAATTTCTTACAAATAAATTTCTAATTGAATTAAACTGTTTTATCTATCTCCATCGGTCGCTTGGTAGAACAAAAGTGGAAGATTAATTTGATGCTGAGTGGTGAATTTTCAATCGGTTAAGAGCGGATGTTGTGCGTGATTCGAGTATCCTGGATACGTTGAGATACCAGGAGAGTTGTTGGAGTTACTGGTGAATTCAAATTAGCTCTGGTTAAGTGAACTTCATCGTCATGGTACAACGATGATATACGCCTGACAAGCGGCACAAGTACACGATGCTGGGCATTATCGCGCATTAAAATGTTAAGTGATCGTAAGCCATGGAAATGATCATGGAGGTTCTCAATCTCCTTTGGCCGTGAGGTGCCACCAGATTTATCACTTTTTCACGACTCTTTTACATCAATTCAAATGGCAATGGATAATTTAATCACTAAATTTTTCAGTAAATTCATTGACTTTTATCTGAAAATTGTATCCATCACCAATTACAATAAATTATGAGGAAAAAATGAGACACTCGAGGAATAATGTATTACTCTGCCATTTTTCTCGCTAACATTATCTCCACTTTTCTTATTCTCTCTTTCTTAATATATGATTATTACTCTCGCCATTGATTCAAGTTTCAAGGTCTCCCAGTGATTTGTTCCTTTATCATCGAGCTGGAGCTGGACATTTGCATCTTTGTCACGTAGTCTCCCTCGGAGTTGTTGTAAACATCTCAATTTGCACGTGCATGTCCTTCTGCTCGTGTGTACCAAAGTTAGAACTTGAGGGAATGCAGTTCCTGGGAAGGCACCGTATCGGAACCGCTTCGACTCCTCTCTTTCCGGATTTATTTTCTCATGTCGATCGTAAAATACTGCCAATTATCACTGCCGTATCGGCTTGCAATGGAATTTATTGTCATTGATATAGAGACCAGCGGGAGAGACGCGTCGGATAAAAAAGCATGAATTTATAATAGCGAGAGGAAGATTAGGATATTGTGAGTTTCAGAATAATAATCACAACTTTCGTATCATTAGGATATTATTTTGAACATTTTACTTTTATTCGTACAATTAAATTCACAGTTTTTTCAAAATCATTTATCATTTGTTTATCATTATTTTTTTTCATTTTATTAGCCTTTGTCCATTTGGCCGCAATTGGTGGAATTCTACGATATTTCACTCAATTTTTAACGAGTTTGGTAGATTGGTTCATCCAGCCAGTTACCAGCTGGACCATAATTGCAGACGAGATGAACAGTGAACATGGCACCCCTCTTGTACCTCATAAGACCACAACCAATGCGAGTTGTCTCTCCCCAAACAAGTTGAGTGTAGTGACCAGTAAGTTTTTTACTAGAACTGATCAGAGACGAAACGAAAAAGAATTCCCAATTAATTATTCTACTGTTACTTTCTCGTGTTTTTCTCTAATTATTGATGGAATACTCACCGGAAGGAAGGAACTACTTGGCTGTCGAAGTTCTCGACTTCGTCGTACCATGCCTGGACAATCTCACTGACTTTAGCATTGTATCCGTTGGACCAACCCTTACGACCCACATTTTGCCCGACGGGAAAACGTTCTGTTCCAAGAGCAAACCATTTTAGTTATGGAATAAATATTACATTGAGGGTACCAGCGGGACAACTCACCAACATTTCTGCATTGATCGTGCCCATCGGTACATTGATTCGCCCAGCGTTGGGCAATTTCGGCCAATTCCTCGTCCCATTCCTAGATAATGAGTAATAAAATAATAAAAATTTATTTGTCATCCTAAATATCCGGATTATCTTACCAGAGGTGGAATGTATCCAGCCGGCTGAGGACCATTAATTCCACGAGTCTCTCGACCACTGGCAACTCGATTTCTCAATTTATTGTGTAACAAACGAATTTCATTCTTCTCTTCTTCAGTGAGAGAAGCACTTTTATAAGCGACGCATTGATTGGCCGGTTTTGGAGACTACAATTATAAAATAATTACATAATACAATTGAAATTGAAGACTGTACTCGATTTAATACTCGGTACTTACCGGGTATAGGCACAGGGTGTGAGGTCTGCCCTTGCAGTTATTCAATTGGCAATAACTATCAGCATCGACAGAGGATAGTGCCAAAGCCACGACAAAGAGATAAATGATTCCAGCCATTTTACGAAGAATACTATCTAGTGGAAATGAACTTGAATTGTGAACAGTCGGAGCGACAACTCGATATTTATACACCTTCTGATAATTTGTCATGGTCGATAGCTTTTTTTCCCTATAAGTTATTGAAGAAGAGCAAGTATTTACACATCCAGCGTACGTCAAGATTCCATAGTGTCGATTATTGATTATGCATTCATGAATGGAAAAGTGTTATCATATTTCATTGTAGGTCCGATCAGTAATACATCATCAGATCGACAGGCGACAGAATCAATTGATTAATTATTATCACATGAAATATATCCCAAATAGATTTATAGAACGGGATAAATCGGAAATAATGTTCTCTTATCAATCTTTTTATCGTGTCGGATTGATAAATTCTTCACACGTGTATAAATGTATTCACCAGGTATTTATTGAGATGCAGTTTATTTTCGTCGTTCTAATCCTAGTCGAAGTAATGAATGATTCATGCATCGTGTTAGAACTAACTACCTACCGATCGTTGTGGTCTTGTCGCATGTACGAAAATACACGTACGACATGGAAAATCGAGTCGTTGATGTATAAACAACGAATTGCACAGGGAACTCGATGATATTTCTCCGGTGGAGTTCTGCCAAGGTACACAGATGTGCGTCTTCAACTGATCTAATTGTTTTCTTTTTTTATATTGTATGTAAAAATAACTCGAATGATAGTGGCCAATAATTAATGAAGAATCAATTTAGATGGGGTATTTATTGTTCGAGGGAGTGGAAGAGCATTTTTTGAGGACTTTTTTTTATTGAAAGTAATGAAAAATGAAAAAAAAAAAATGCCGTGACCAGGAATCGAACCTGGGTCGCTACGGCCACAACGTAGAGTGTTGCCATTACACCATCACGGCTATCCAAAACTACGAGTGTCAGAGATTTTACTAGAAGTACAAAACGGTAAGATCATATCTCTGGTCTTTAAATTCCTAAATAAACAATTACTGCTCAATATTTAGTTTCAGAATTAAATCAGAAAATAGTTCTCATTAAGTTCAAAATATTTTAATAGACAAAAATCGAAAGTAATGAATTATTGGGGTTCATGGGCGAATGATGGATGAAAATTATTTAAAAAATATAGAAGCAATGAAAAAAAATAGGAAAATTTGATTCCTGCCGTGACCAGGAATCGAACCTGGATTATTACGGCCACAACGTAATGTGTTACCATTACACTATCACGGCTGTTGGAGGAGTTGAGAGGAAAAAGTCGAGGTAGATCCTAGATCTGGACTAGATGATCGATCAATCGTGAAGAGAGAACTGACAGATACCTCAGCGCCGCTTGACACTTTCTCTTAGAATTTGTTCAAACGCCCATCACATGTCTTTATTTAGTCATTTACGCCTTTCATGTTGTTTATTTAATAATCGATATGTTTCGCTCAGTTGCCGCCTCATCGAGTATTAAATTGTTTTTAGCAATAATAATTGCATAATTCAATTTTTTTTTTTGCAAGCAGAAATCGCTCCGATAGCGCGATCGAGATAAACCGCTCATCTGTAAAAATATTTGCCCTCTAATCCAGTTTGTATTCCCCATTTTTAACCAAAAATTCTTAGACTTCAATCTCAAGTACTATCTCCGCTTGGAAATTCTCTCGACAAATATTTAGTGGGCAAACAACGTCTTGGGTGAATCTGAGAATCAAGTTTATCTCCTGTCACGATCTTTTCAAGTTGTTGTTAACATCATGAAATATTCATGAGAGTTATCTAAAAAGCCCTTGATATTAGACGATCAGATGAGCAAGAGAATATAAATATTCAATTTTCGCAGAAATCCCCTGAAATTTTGGAACAATAATTCAATTTTCTCAATATATTTCGATATTTAATTTCAAGGTGAAAGCGAAATTGAAGTGGAGCGATGATGAAACGGAAATTGAGACGCGTTCGTAAATAAAAACCCAAGGAGATTGAAAAACGTTAATTTTTTTTTTACTCCTTCAAAATTGCTTTCCAAGTTGTGGGTGAATGACAGATCTTTTCATTCTTTGACAGGATAATTACCATTTTAGAACTCATATTACTAGTATCGGGTGCTATGATCTTTCCCTCGGCCTTTTTCCAGATATTTCCGGTGTCAACCCCTTTTTTTGAGAATTTCAAACTGCGGGCACGTGTCAAAATCGTCAGGCCGGTTGCTCGTTCTCAAGGCGAGAAACCCTGGATACACTTTGAAATTCTTTTATTGAGAATTAAAATAAAAAGAATCCCCAGGTGACGATAATGAAGCTTTTGGCTACAGCCAGAAGTGTCACTGCAAAAAAAAATGCTAGGTAATTTCTCTCTTGCCGAAAGGTGGTAATTTTATTGTCCAAACAGAAACTTCTGCCGCTCATCTTTACACAATTTTATCGCTTCACAATTCATTCTTGTTAATTGATAATTTGTTAATTGATAATGATAATTTTTTTTATTATATCTTGAAAATTCGCGGCAATAAAAAAGATATGAGCAACCCAATGGCATGATCTTTCAATTTTCTAATTTCAGAGATGATCTGGAAATCGAATTTCATGATAAAAAGTTGAACCCCTCTGATTTCCTGCAGGAATTATTTTTAGCAAATGTTGACCCACTTAATTTCTGCCAACACCAAGGGCTACCTGCTGTTATTTGTTTATATTGTTTAATCTCGTTTTTTATACAAGTGGTATATCAATTCTCGCAAATACCGTCGGTGAAACAATCCATCGAATTGTCGGAATATTTTTTTTTTCAATTTGTAAAAGAATTAAACAAAAATAAATACCTTCCCTCACTCATTTCATCCGAAAATACCCGTGGCATCGGAGTACGAAACCAGAAGTAACTGCGAAGCAAAGGGTATCTGGTCTTGCCACAGAAAAATATATAACAACACCACGTGCACCATTCCCTCGTCCATATTTTTTAATTCTCAAACAAAGTTACGATTTACCCACAGCACGTGGTGAAAAAAAATTCCTCCCAAGGCTAACAGTTAAAAACTTGGCAAAATTATTTTTCAATTCACCTAGAGTCTGCGTCATTTACCCAAGTGGTAAACTATCCGACAAATGCATTTCCAGGCGACTTTTTTACATCAACATTTTTTATAGAAAAATATGTGAGCAACTGAAAACCTTTTCATAAAAATCCCATTATCTCCCTTCAATCCCGAGATATCGACTAAAAATTCGCTTCGCAAAAAAAGCTCTTATCCCGATGTACCACTTCACAACAGATTTTATATTAACATATTGCGGATTCAACGCGAATTGTACCAATTGCGCTACCCGCATGTCTTGATGTTGAATTACATCCCCCGTTTCCATCCAATTTTTCCAAATGAATGAGTTTGAATAGCGATGTACTGTAGACGTGGGCAAAAAAATTAATGGAAATTTCGTGATGTCGAGGGAATTGAGGCTAAATTAAAGAGGATTCAATGATTGCGGGAAAATCAGTGGGGTACAGCGACCCCGACATCAACACCATTTATCCATGCAGACGGCAAAGTGACGGGCTTTATTGGCAATCACGGTAAATACCGGTGATCATTACCCTCTCCTTCTCGCAATAAACTTGGACTTATTCCGTTGCACTTTGCCAACATTCGTCGAAGGCTTTACGTCTCTATGTACTCCGCGAAGAATATATTTACACCAAGAATAATTATTACGAGCTCAAAATGTTCCTCATTAATTTATCGACGATATCAGAGAGACTGAAATAAAATGATTTGCAATAAGTTGCCCAAGTAATTGACATCGATGCGGTGTGGGAATTTATGAATTTTCTATTTTTCGCCCTTCGGCAAAGACGCGATTAATAATTTCATGCTTTGATCAATGATCTAACTTTATACATTTTCATTCTCGATCTTCGGACTGGCGGAAAATATGAAAGACGCATTTTATACACACGCATGCCTAAATCATGCTGACGTGATCGTAAACACGAGAATGCTTCCGGCAGTGATGGCTCAACCAATGAATAATCTACTGAGACTTGGCTCAACATTTTATTGTTTTATTAATGCACGAGTCGTCGTGTTAATTTCATTACGTAGAATTAGCGGAAGAGCGCGAACTTTCTCGTATAGTCAAAGTGTAATCAATTTTTTTCTGTTTCGATCAGTTGATTTTTTTTCAATACTCGATTCTTGCTCAATGATTGGTTTGTTGATGGTGGGGGAACTTGGATCAAAATATGGAGCGCCTGTCATTCGACGATTGAAACAAGTGGGAATTTTATAACAGGCCAATAGGAAATGTGAGAATTCGGGTTTGTTTTGGTATTGAAATTCGCCCGAGGCGTGACTCGTCGGAAAGTGGGGTGTGTTCGTTGGGAAATGTATGACAACAATTCCTTTCCTACTTTATCTAATCCTCCAATCATTGGACCTCATTTCGTCAACATTTAAATAAAATGGCAGTTGTTTACCAGAATGTGTTTCTGGTCACGAATTGAGGAGTTAAGAATTAAAATGACGGAAAACATCGGGTGACTTCAATTCAATTATATTATGTTTAATTATAAAATTTCGGGCCAAATAAACAATCTACATGAAAAATATATTATCCTTGTCTATTAATTATTAATTATTGACTCGGAATTATTTTTGGTGGAAATTTCAAATGAAATGGAACATTTTAATTTCCGGTTATGTTTTAATTGCAAGGGAAAAAGTACTGGCAAAATTATTATTATTGAAAAATGGCAATCTCTATCGGTTTTCTTTCGTGAAATTGTTATCCATCTGGATAAAAAAAAACTCGACGTTTGTTTCTCCTATTTCTAGAAATAACTCATCTATATAAATAAACGAGGGGAGTGAAACAAGGCTTCTCCATGACAAGACAAATTCAGTGGTTCATCGACAGATAAATGGCCGAGTGCTTTGGTTAATTAAACATCACCACTCGACACGTTACTTTTCTCATTCAAAAATGCATCATCGGGAATGATAAATAGTTCGGTGATCGGTTCATTGGTGATATCCAACCAACAACTTGAGGCGTTTTCTTGATTGACCGCGAACTTCCTCAACATTCTCACTCGTGTTAAATAAATCCTAGTCATGACTATCACTTCTTGCAAGGTTTACACTTCGCTGATCTTTGCATACTGCGGATTGCGTGCACAGAGGTAAGTATACTACCACCATAAAAAGTTATATTTAATTCTGGACATGGACGAGTCCCCAGAAGCTTTACGATTCGTCGCTTGCATTTGATTTACTGGTTTTGGGAGTGTCTAAATGATGCACTCACTCGTTGCCATTTTAATCGTCAGTGATTGATGAATATTTTATTCAAGCTCACATTTACTTGTTCTCACCATTATCAACAATTTTGTAAAAAGAAAAAAAAATACTGCGTGGAGTGAAATATTCGCAATGAATTGCCGAACATTTCACGTAATCGTAATCATAATTTTTATTGTAATATTTTGACCGGGGAGAAATTAAAAAGTGGGGAGTAAACGTGAATCATTGTTGATTGATATTTTTATTTCACCGCAAAAGTCAACAGCTCAGCGCAGACTAGATATTTGTAAAAATTTTATTGTCTCGGATTGATCATCACCTCATTCTTCTTCTCGTTTTTACCAGTTTCTCTACAGACGAATGTTTTAACCGGAAATGAATGGTAACTGGGGAGGCAATTGTGAGAGGAGCGAATTCATCCGGCATTTGATGGGTCAAGAAATATCCGCAGGAAATTGTAGTGTATCACTGAATAAAGCATCTCGGACGTTGGTCGTTAATTAGATATGCTAACATTGTGTTACCTATCACGCTATGAAATTATAAACACAATTAAAAAAGCTATTAATTGATGAATAATTATTTCCAAGTAGACTGATGGCGTTCCTCTAATTTGTTTCAGCAAGGCTTGAATTATATTGCCAAATCGTATACTAAGATAAGTGCATTTTATTCAAGGCCATTTTTTTGCCGATTTCTCGAGATTGAAAGAGGATAGCGATATTTTCATAGAAACCTTTTCTGCAGCTCTCATATTTTTCTATAAAAAATGTTTACGAAAAAAATTACCTAGGTGTCTCCAAATCCGAGATATCGGCTAAAAAATGCACTTATCCCAATTTACCACTTCGCTACTGAATTTTTTTTTGCAAAAACTTGGAGATCTTCCCAAATCTTCAGATATAATCTTTGTTTAGTGGCTCTTCAGCTTGAAGCAGTGATTCGA